TCGAGAGCATGGTAGCTTTAAAAGGGAGAAGCAAGTGATGACGAGGGAAGTAGTTGAGCTGAGGCGTGAGCAGCAGAACACGAGAGGCTATCAAATTTGATAAGATCCGTAGAGGCCCCATGGCCTGTATTTTTTACCAAATGCAACTTTCTTTCCACGTCCAACCTCCAGATGCATGCAAAAATCACATCCAACAAATTTGTTCTCTCATTCATCTAATTCAATCTCTCTTCTGTGCCTTCACTTTGCCTGTTATGATGTGAAATGAAGAACACAGTGCCGAATGGATCATAGCATGCTTTGTGTATTGTCTTTCATGAACTGAATTTCGGCTCATCATCAACCAAAAACAATTTTCCAAACCAACATATGAAAAAGAAGCATTTATTTCCTGTTCTTTTTTTTTCCTTTTCCTTAATTCTCAAAAGTTAACAAAGAGTCTTGAATCATCTTTCTTTGAACACACAATTTTTATGTATAAAAGACCCTCACTACCTGTCTGCAAAGAAACATAAATCACACCGAAATAGAACTTTATTCTTAAGAGAATCCCATCCCATAAATGGAATCTTTAAACATAGGAGAAGACTGACTGTCTAATTGGTAGCTGCCCGGCTATCACCAATTGTTGAATGGTTCCATCTTCGTTCTAGCCCGACATCTCTTCCAGCGATTTTCCTTTTCCCCCTTCCTCTGCTTCCAAATATTGTAAGTTATACCCAACATTTGTTTAACGGTTGAAGTCTTAAATTTGTAATTTTATTGATTAAAAACAATAATTAATTATTTATACTCAAATTTTTTAAATAAATTTTATAGCAAATCTTTCAAACCCTCCAATAACATGTTACTAGATTCCTATTTAGGAAATTAGATTTCAAATATATATATATATATATATATATATATATATATATATATATTAGGGTAAATACCCTTTTATTTTTAAAAATTTTAATTTTGTTTTCCAACTTTAATATTGATTGCATATTGCTTTGTCACTTTTCAACTAATTAAAAAAAGCTTTCATATGGCTAGGGTAGTTTACTTTTTTGTTTAAATTTTTGTCCATTACTAAGAAAGTTTAAAATAGAAGGGTTAGATAAATCTTTATATACACTTATTTACTTATAAATCTTACCTTAACTCATACTCAAATAAATAGAAACATAAACCATCTTTGCACACAACACCAAATTTAATTGGATTAGTAATTGTGAATCGAAAAATTATACTTGTTAAAATCTATATATAATTCGATTTTTCTTATACATATACATATACATATATATATATATATAGATTCTCCTCATTTTCATAATAAAACCCTAGTTTTCTCCCTAACAAAGGCAGTGTTAGATGTGCCAAATATTAATTTAATGGCATTATCAAAATTGATGGGATCACATCTAAGATAAAATGTGAAATTCAATGTTCCAATAAACACTCAATTTTAAGATAAAAGGTAAAAAATCACAGGTAAAAAACAAAACATTTATTTACTCGTCAATAGTAAGATTTTAGATTTTAGAATTGTGCAATGGAAAAGGTAAAGTTAATGGGTTCAAATATAACTCTTATTTGAACATAAACTTCAAAAATGCTTAAAAACAATTTCTTCTCTCAAAAAGAAAAAACAAACACAAAATAATTTAAAAGAATGAAATGCAATACAGCCTATTCTAACTTAAGACTAGGAATTTAAATATAAGTCTACCCTATGTACGTGCCACAATCTCTGCTCGCGATACCGCCGCCCTCCGTACAAATGCACTATGTCTTTACCTGAAAAATGATGTAGCACACTTCCTGGGTATTTGCAGTTGCACCATCAACAATAAAAGGTAGATAGCTTAAAATATAGATCATTTTTATTGAATTTTGTCCATTCTTTTCTTTACTTTTGTAATTTTTTGTTATAAAATTTGGGGTAACTCCTTGATGATTTAACCATATGTGAATAGGAGTTTGTGAAACTTGTACTGTCCAATATATGGTTTTGTTAAAAAGGAGCAACCATTTTATTTATAAGCAAAGCAGAGTATTGGTTTAATGTTATTGATCTATTTGGGCAACAAAAGCAGTCAAAATCACGGACAGAAGATGCAAGAAAAAGAGTAATTTGCAATTTAGAAGAAAATTTCAAAAAACACATGTGAAGTGGTTGCGGGTGGATTGGATGAAACCCAACTGGAGAAACTTTTGGTACAGAATACTTACATTTCCACTTTTTCTGATAACTTCAATACAGATGCTTATTTGGGGATAAGATCTGAGCGACATCATCATCTACCTCAACCAACCAAATTATGAACCAAAACAACATAGAAAGAAACAGGATGTCAATGTCACAACCATAAAGCCAAACCAACTTCATCTATGTTTTCATCCGCATATAATATGAATTAACAGTACATGGAAAACGAACACACATATATAAGGCCTGCACCAGATGGTTCTATCTTATACAAGATTAGAGTAAAAGATGATCTTATTATTAGTATTGTATTTTGAATCTAGCTTGCACAACCTTAAAACTATTCTTACAAGACTATCATTCAACCACACATGGTTCCTAAGGTAACTTGTAGAGTATTAAATCTTAGCTAGATAGGTTATCACCATTACACAAACCCATTCCCTCCAAGTCCTTTGTCATTTACCTGACTTTATTGACTACTGAGCCTCCAAGTCCTTTATCATTTACCTGACTTTATTGACTACTAGGCAATCTCACGGTGGTCGTAAAAGATGATATTATTACTAGTCTATGTTGGGTATTAACTTTAGAGTCCAATTATTAAGCCTCCAGCAAATGGCATCCCCCTTTGCTAATAAAGATAAAGTACAGATCTCACTCGTCAATAAGGAAAAACCCAACAAGAAATATATAAAACAAAACAGAAACCAACAAAGTAAGAGAGAGAGAGAGAGAGAGTCACATGCATGATTTGGCTGGTTTAAGATGGTGGGTATTTCTTTCTCCGAAAGTTTGTTAGAAGCCATGCACATGGTCCCCAAGAGACTGCTCACTAACTTTGTGTTCTGCTGTCTTCATCTTTGCTATTTCATGGAAGATTTTTGAATGTGTGTGTGTGTGAGAGAGAGAGAGAGCTGCATAAAGTGAAAAAGTCATAAGGTAAATTTTAGAGCTACACATTAGCTTGTCTGCTGGTGAATGGCGTGGGGCTTCATAATATTCAATTTTGTCTTACCTTTGGACCACTGCCACTCTGCCATCTCATTTTCTTCAAAACCTTGCAATCACATAATAATCAACAGCAACAAACTCTATTTATATCCCCTTACCTATTGCCCTCCTCTTCCTTCAAATTACTACAACACAAACTCTCTTACTCTGCCGTGCATCACCAGCAGTTGAAGCTGCCAGCATGATCTAAACTTCTTCTTGCTCTTCACACAAGGAAAGATCAGATCATATGGTAGCTTCACCTTTTGGTGGTATCACGAATATTCCAATCCCCCTTCTTCTCCCCATCATTGAACCCCAACCCCCCTATTTTCATTTCTTGTTGCTGTGTGCTTCATCCAATTCCTGTATACCAAAAAAACACACTTCTTCATTCTCTTGTGTTGCAGGTTGGTTTAATTTATAATTTAGTCGTAGGAAGAGTTAGGGGCGAGAGCAATGGAGATTGATCTTCAGCTTTGGTTACTGTTGGGGTTTTGAGTCTCAGAATTTCTCTTATCCAAAGAGTTTTGGCTTTGGTGCTTTCCAGATTCCCCTTCTCCATGCTTATTGCTTTCAACTTTTTAGAAATCATTTCTTTCTAAAATGTATTGTATTGTATATATAAGTTTTCCATCTTATATATCATCATCTTAAAAGCTCCTGTGGGACTGTGATTCGAATACTTCATCTTAATGGGATTATTTTTTTGTTTTATTCCAGAGGAAGTATCAAAAGAAAAAAAGGGTATTAAAAATGTTAGAAGTACTGTTTCCATGTTGTTGGAGGCATTTTATATTCCATTATTCCCAAACATGAACAGTTGTGGATGTTTGTTTTTTGGCGCTTGTCTGAACGAAGGACTCGAGAAAACCTATATTCCACTTTTGAAACAGTATACAGCTACACTCTTTCCTTGCCCTCCTACCATTCTTGTCTTCACTTCGTATGCATTTTCAATCACTTTAATAAGCTCATTTCACCTTTTCATCGCTTCTCTCTCTCCATCTTTTCTCTCTCTTAACTCTGCCGCTGTTAATCTCAACCACACTCGTTTCCTATAATTTATTATGCAATTCTAGGCTTCTTAACCTCAAACTTCACCATACTAAGCTTATTAAACCGATACCGCCCCAAAATAAGTAAACTTCTCTGGCTAGAGGGAGTGGTTGAGCCCAATCCACAGCTCTCTTTGGAGATCGTTCCAAATTAATGCAACAAATTCTGCCCAAACCTTTAAATTTTATTTCCATAATTTCCTCATTCGTTTTCAGAAAACCAATCGACTAAGTGATAGTGATGGTCTATTGCAACTTTACTACAGAGTCTCCAAGAACAATGCCTTGAAGTTGGTTTTTAACGTTACTGCGAAAGGTTGATTTAATGTGAGTTAAACTGAGGGTGCCATATTCATTCAATCGCCTCCTTGTTGCTGAAAAGGGGATTTTCTAGTTTCCACTTGGAGCAAAGATGTCCAAATGTCATGACGAGGCATTGAAACTATGATTGCATGCCAAACGGGTAGGTCTGAATACACCTGAGGAATAGGAGAATGTTTCAAGGTGTTTGAGTTTTCTTAACTAAGTTTAATGTTTCAAGAGTTTTTTTTTTTTCTTTTTTTTTTCTTTTTTTTTTCTTTTTTCTGTATGTAGACACATTTCTTTCACAAGGTTGGTAGAAAAAACATTCTTATCCTAAAGTTTAATAAAAAGAAAAACCTACATCGTATTTAAATAACAAGCATTTATACCTTTTCCCACATAATTGCGCCTACACCAATGTATTTTTACAAAAATATCTCGATTATTTATCATCTTCATACATATATATTGTACCTTGAGTTATTAGGTGGAAATGAGTATCAATTTCCATAAATTCCAATCAATCTGCCATACAGTCTAAATCAATCAAGCAAACCATTTTCGTCAAACTCACATTGATTTAATCACAGCAGCCATAAAGGATCAGAATCAAATTATGCACTGAGCAGCTGCTTTAATTTGGATGCATTGTCCGCCGTAGTCATTACTTAATAAGGATTTCATCACGAAGAATGGGTTTTTATGTGGTGTTGACTGTTGAATCAGCACTAGATCAAAAGGCCCAACTCAAGCTATTATGCTTGACTATTAATTTTGATTCATGGGATCCAACACCTAGAAAATAGTGGTAAAGGAATTCAAACTCCCAAACTCTTACTTTGATATCATCTTAAATAAGAAGTTTAATATTCAAGTTATTAAAGAAATAGGATATCCATCCTAAAGAGAACAAAATATTCCATAGAAGGAGCTCTTCTAATTCATCATCTTCCATAGGTTTTTAAAGAACAACAGTCTGGCATTTTTTAGCCGTACAGAGAATTGGGAAGAAAAAGACTAAAATTTCAAGGAAACTAATTGCCAAATTAACTAAAGTAATAAACTAAAATTAATTTAGCTAGACATAAGTGTAATCAAACCAACACTACATTATTATTCCCTACACCACAGTCACTTAATCACTAGAAATAAATGCTTGTGAACCATGGAATTGCCAAGAAACTGACCCGTAAATTGTGGTATGTTTGGCCGTCTAACAGCATTAGGCATATGCAAGAAACTGTTCTGCAATGAAATAGTGAACGATTAGATTATATTGTTTTCAATAATCAATACTATGCCAGTTGACAACAGATACTGCTACGATTATGCATCCTAATACTATTAAAACAAAAAAAAAAACAAAAAAAACATAAAAAACAAAAAAAAAAAAAAACAAAAAAAACATAAAAAACAAAAAAAAAAAAAAACAATTATTCATCCTTATTTAGTGATGAGATTGCTGGGAAGTCCTAGAATGCCATTTGTAGTCAGTATTTCTATATTTGATCATGAAAACAATGTCATCAACGTGTAACCACAGCCAAACCACAATGTGATTTATCAAGAATCTTTGATTTCATATAATTCAATTGTCTATGAATTCCCGAAAAAAATCAATAAGGAAAATATACCTTCATATCGTCCATCTTCGATTGAGCCATTGCAACAGTTGTTCGTCTACCGTACATGCTCCACCAGATCAGACCTTTAAAAAAAAAATCCTTCATATCAAATGTTTGTGGCGATACACAGAGTTTACCATCAAAATCCCCCCATGAAAGGCAACCATTAAATGATACAGCGTCACTAGCACCCATTCAAGAAAAATAATTGTCAAACAACTCATTAGCCCGATGAGTCGTCTTCTCAAGACCAACTCCAGAAAACTTTCGGCCGATCTCAAACGAAGGGGCATAAAATTTTTTATCAGCCATTGAAGCCCAACAAATCCACATCTTCGCCTCCTTCTCTGTTATATTTCTCCCCCACGCTACAATTCTAGCTTCCATGAACGGTTTAGAACACTTCTCCTTCGCAAAACCGACACACTTCTCCTTCGCGCCAGCCAAACAAGCCTCCATTTCGCGCTCTTCGCACTGCTCCCTATCCTTCAAATCCAGCCCTTTCTTCGACTGTATCAAAAAACTCCACCACGGCCGCTTGCATTTGTTGATAGCAGTTATTGAGCAACCGATCCTCGCGCCGGCCTCGCATTGTTCGATGATTTTAGACTCGCAGATTTTGTAGGCAGATTCCCAAGCTTGAGGATCTCTAAATGCAAGCAAGTACGGACCTGCCGATGGATTTTCAGATCGACCGGCTCGAATTGGTCCGCGAAGAAGAGGAATTGGACGTTGGAAGGTGATAATCGTCGTTGCAGCAGAGTAGTCGTCGGGATTTTGGGGCTGCGAAGGCTCCATCATCGGAGGGTTCAGAAAGCTCATCGTCACCGTCCACGTTAAACTTCTGAAACAGAGAGATTTTATTTTAATTTTTAGGGAAAATATAAATCTAACCTGAACCCTTGCTTTTAAAGCTATCAAAAAAAATATTTTTGGAATATATCTAATTAGTTAAAAAAATATATTTAATATTTAATTTATTATTATTATTATTATTATTATTAAAATTGTAGGTTTTTTTTTATTTGAAACTTAATTTTGGTAGAAAGTTAAACTTCAATTTTGATAAATTGTATTTATGTGTTTATGGTTAAGATTGATACTACTGTCACGTTTTAAGGACAAAATTAGTTTTTTTTTTTTTTTTTTCCAAGTTCATGTTAAGTCAAATTGTTTTAAAATATTTTAAAAAAACAGAGAAATTTAATGTGTCAAATTAGAGGATCTAGATAGTTGAATTTTAACACAACTTGAAGCTAGAAGTCATTAAAAAAAAAAAAAACGATAATAAATTATTATTATTATTGAACTTTATTGGTACACAGTGAGGGCAAATGGTATGAACAAAACATAAATGAAAGATTGTTCTTAGTAATGTTGAAATGGGATCAAGTGATTGTCATAATGTTGGCAAACTCTTCATAACTCACTCTGCCATCGCCATCCAAATCCGCCTCTCGAATCATTTGTTCAGCCTCCTCATCTGTCAATCTCTCTCCCAAATTTATCATTACATTTCTCAGCTGCACATTCACTTTCTCGGTAAGACGTTAAGCTAATTAATTTCACACAATGAATGAATCAATGGAGATTTTAAAGCATTATCAGACCCCCTATTCAGTATTCAGAGAGAAATGGATTGAAATTTTACCTCAAAAGCTGAGATATAACCATCTTGGTCCCTATCAAACACTTTGAAGGCCTCTTTTAGCTCCTCCGTCACATTGCCCTGCAAAACCCAACTCCTCCTCAGCCTCCATGCACACTAAAATCCCTATCACAATTCATTTTTTTTTTTTTATTTTTTTTTACCTTCAATTTCCTTGCCATCACATTCAGGAACTCATCAAAATCTATCGTCCCATTAGCGTCCACATCCACTTCGCATATCATATCTCTAACTTCATTCTTGGTGGGATGTCCATCCAATGACTGAATCACTGCCGCTAGCTCCTCCACACTGATGAATCCTGCAAATATCCCCACGAACATATTTTAACAATCACTTTAAGCCTTTACTCTTTTTAAACTCAAAAATATAACTACTTCTTTCTCACAAAGAATCTATAAAACTAATTTTGACTTGTAGAAGTTAAGATTATTACAACCCAGTACTGATTAAAAACAGAACATCCATCCTCAAGTATATCCTTTCGCAGAACCAAAAAGTGTAATGAATAAAATGTAAGTTTCAGCATCATGTTTAATTCAGGAAAAACATCAAACAGGAGGTGGGCAAAAGCAAAAGCAAAAGCGAAAGCAAAGGGGAAGAGAGAAGAATGAACCCACCATCCGCATCCTTGTCAATTAAACAGAAGGCTTCCCGGAAATCAGCAATCTGATCTTCAGTAAGAGCTTCAACAGCCATTATAAGTTGGGTCGCTGTTGTGAACAATTAGCAGAAACGAAAACGAGAAGAAGAAAACCAAGGTGTAGCACAATGGGACTCCATATAGTCTTATATACATGTTGGTGAGCCAGAAAAGAATAATATTGTTGACTGTTCAATGAGATTTGGAATAGTCAAACGAGCTTAAAGAAAACTACAATTTTCTCCTAAAAAATTTCTCCGCTTTGAATGAGAAAATTTCTAGATTGACAGCCTTTGTTGGACCAAAATAAAATAATAAAAACTCGACAGCATGCAATTGAGATAACCCCCAACCCCCATTTCTGGTGGTCAACTAATTAATTCGGCCCTATAAAAGTGTCCAGTCCATACTTCAACACAACCCATAAGTGCCGTAGTCTTCGGATTGCTTGGCAGAAGGCTCCCTATTCTAAATTCAAATTGTTTCTTTACTATCTAATCTATCCTCAAATTTTTATAATGACAATCCACACAAAAAATGTATGCATGTATATATGTCTGCACAATTATTTTAGACCAAAGTGAACTCTGAGTCGGAATTATTTCGGATGGCTCCCGAAGTCATTCTGACCTCAAGATGACGCTATGAGCTTTAATTTGGAAGAATTGATTCCAAGGAAGTTTTCTGATCCCTGCAGAAGTTCCAATCAAAATCATACACATTTCTGATGGGTATTCAAATTTATTGTCAAAGTAGAAAGGACAACAGCAAGAAACAAACAGTACTACACAACTTGCAAACTAAAATTGCATGTGCAAGAGTAGAATATCAGCTTCAACCCCTCTTTCCAACTCAGATTGGCTGACCTTTTGGAACAATCTGATCTTTGATCCACATGTATATGGGAACCAGCACGTAGTATGTAGATGCCATGGCTCCCAGAAGGAAGCGAGCAAGAAACACGAACGGGTTTACAGGTTTCGATACATCCTCTTCCTTGGGACCAAGCTGCAAAGGAATTCATTTAACGCTCAGAGAAGCCATAGAGTAAAAACAAACTTACAAAGACAGAACAATTGTGTCAAAAATGGTTACTATGACATAGTGAAAGATCTCATCACTCAAATTTTATGTTCTCAAAGTCTTAGACAGATGATCATGTTCATAATTCTTGTGGTTAGACTCGGTGGACATGTTCCAAGTCACGTTTTCAAAGAACTGATTCCATATGATAACCATGCATTTGGTTTTTGCATATGTTCAGGTCAATACTCGTTTGTGGCTAGACTGAGTGTACATGTTCCAAGTCATAATTCTTGTGTTAGACTCAGTGTACATGTTCCAAGTCACGTTTTCAAAGAACTGATTCCATATGATAACCATGCATTTGGTTTTTGCATATGTTCAGGTCAATACTTGTTTGTGGCTAGACTGAGTGTTCACATTTAAGAGTCTTGATTTCCAAGAACTGAACCCAAATGAAAACCATAAATATACCGGTTGGTTTTTTCCGGTGGATCCAGGCAAAGGTGCAAAGCAGAATCCCAAAAAGTCTTGGAGTAGCATGAGCCATGTTCTAATATGTAAACGGAAATGAATTTGGAGGAATTAAAATAAAATATGCAAACATGTCAAATACAAACCGAAGGTAGTAAGTTCGCACTTAAACTAAGGTTCAATCTCTAGCTCACCCTCATTTGTCAAGGACTTAAAGTTTCAAGCATCACAATAAACGGAAACCATCTGGATTTTCCTTGAGCCAGAAGTCTGAATTTCAGTGTCAAAACTCACAGAATTCTGATTAAGAATCCTTGAGATGAGAACACTTTTAATAACCATTTGCAGCGTCTAAACAGAAGAATAGATAAGCAATTTTATACCATATTATTGCTCTTTACAAACTATTTCTCTCAGTTGAAAAATCCTTTCATTATCGTTCTAGGTCTCTTCAATTGCCTTCTTTAAATTACTCAGGAAGCAGCAAGTATTGAGTGCAAAGAAGTAGTCCAATAATGTACTTGTACGAGCACACAATTCCCGACAGATGGTAGTCAGGAAAGGAATTTCTCACTTTTTGTTGCTGTTGTTTTGTGTGTGTCTGTGTGTTGGTGAGGGGTTTTTTAACAATGGAAACCACGTAATAGGTAAAACAACAATTTATCCAGCACCCTGTCATTCTTGACAATGGTTATAACACAATAGCAATCAGATATGCTTTATGAGAAGCCTTGTGACAACCTACAGCGTAAGTTGAAAATGGAGAAGAGAATTACCTGCAAAGGAGAGTCACCAGAATAAGGTTTCACACCAGTCACGGAACATCCCATGATTAGACCATGGCGACGAACTCCTCGGTACCATTTTGGACCAATCCTTTTCAATTGAACGTCCTTAAATCCAGCATTTGTGAACCACTGAATATACTCTTCTTCCTTTGGGAAAAGCATCCACACATCTGCAAAGAAGCGAGACAGCCAAAATGTTGGGTACACTGGACCAATTATACATGCTTTTCCTCCAAGTTTGAGAACCCTGTATGCTTCTTTGATGCCACGCTGTGGATCTGGCCAGTATTCAATACTGAGCGGAGATATCAGAAAACAAGATCAGAGATACCATTAAAACTCTCAACATCCCATTTTCTCTCGCATATAAAAAGTTAAACGTATATATCACACACAGCCCTAACACTAAAAGCGACTTCTCTGTCCTCCAGCTATAATCTCCTTATATAAAAAGGCTAAATTGCAGATTCCTTTAGTTAGACTTGAGCTTTATTGATCCCCAATCCACCATCAGCCACATACAAAATTTTTAAACAAGTTATTGCTCAAATGGGAATGACTCACTTCATATTCTAATTTGTTTCTATTTTAGAATGTTCACTCAAAACAAGATTCTCCAAACCCCTGTTCCAACCAGTAAATCAACATAAATAGTTACACATTACAAAACAACATTCACAAAAAACCCATAGTAGAGTTTCAGCAGTTCACCTTCCAGCAGATACATATCTATCTGCATAATCAGTACGAAATGGAAGATCCTCAGCATCCCCTTCAATAATTTTGCAGTCTTTCAAGGGCTCTTTCTGCTTAGCCTTAGCTAGCTGATGAGGCGATTGGTCCAGAATGGTTACATTTTTGGCATCCACGTGCTTCACTATCCCCAAAGTGGTAAAACCAGTACCACCACCAACATCCACCACCATCATATTCCTATTGTGGAGATCTGCAGGCTCAAGAGCTTCATCCCTCATATCCTCAGTCCAATGCCCAGGGTTTATGATATGGTCGTACACAATCGACAGGAACCTATAGAACCAGAAGGCCTCTTTCTTGTGCTGAATGAACCTAAGCTGAGAAACTGGCCGCGAAGCAGAAAGATTACACTTGGGCGCCATGGACACGACCTTGGAACACCTAAAACTGGAAACTAGACCTAATTTGGGTAAAGTCTTCCCATGGAGATTCGAACCCGAAAAACCCAATCCATTCGGAACCAATCCTCTGGTGAGTTTGAGGCTTTCAGCTCCATTTAGCATTGCAGAAGCCATAATTTATA